CATTGCTCATAGCAATATTTTTTCTGGTATATCTCCTCAAGCAAGGGAGACAGTACTAAGAATAAACAAATGAGACTACATCAAACTAAAAAGTTTTTACACAGCAAAGGAAAACATTAACAACAAAAAAGACAACCCACAGAATGGGAGAATGTATTTGCTGATACATTTGAAAAGGGGTTAATAGCCAAAATTTATAAAGAACTTAAAAAATCAGCACCAAAAAACAAAATTATCCAATTAAAACATGGACAAAGGACCTGAATAGACATTCCCCAAGGAGGACATACAGATGGCCATTATAGACATATGAAAAGATGCTCAAGGTCATTAATCAGCAGATAAATGCAAATTAAAACCACAATGAGATATTACCTCATACCTGTCAGAATGACTACCATCTATAAATCAACAATGAATCCTGGTGAGGATGTGGAGAAAACGGAACCCTTCTGCACTGTTGGTAGGAATGCAGATTGTCGCAACCACTGTGGAAAGCACTATGAAGACACCTCAAAAAATTTAAAGTTGATCTGGCTTTTGACCTAGTGAATCTACTTCTGGGAATTTATCTGAATAAACCCAAAACATTAATTTGAAAGAAGATAAGCACCTCTATGTTCATTGCAGCGTTATTTACAATCACCATGATATGCAAGCAGCCCAAGTGTCCATCAGTAGATGAGTGGATAAAACAACTATGGGACATTTGCACAATGGACTACGACTTTGCCATAAAAAAGAAAATTTTACCCTTTGTGACAGAATGGATGGACCTGGAGAACATTATGCTAAGTGAAGCAAGCCAGTTGGAGAAAGACCAATACCACATGACTTCACTCATATGTGGAATCTAATGAACAAACTGAATTAACCTGCAAAATAGAGACAGACTCAGAGGGGGAGCAGGATGACAGCTCGTGGGGGTTGGAGGTTAGTGGGTGGAGGGATCGAGCAAGAAGGAAAAAGGTCTCGTGGACAGGACAACAATGTGGTGATTGCGGGAGAGAGGGGAGTATAAGGGAAATAAATGGTAATGGTAAAAGTACAATAAAAATAAAACTAAAAATAAAAATTTTTGCAAATGTGCATGTGAGCCAGCAGAAATACTGAAATATGTTGTTTTCAGCCATGAGACTAAAGTGAATGACAAATTTGATCTCATGTCAAGTGGCGTTCTTGCTAAAGTATGATTCTTAGAATTAGTATTGACCTTTATGAAGGTCATCATTATCTTGAATTAAATGCTTCAAAAGCTTAAATTGAGTCTGTATTCTCAGAGTATGTTCATTCAACAATTTTTAGGTCAAACTATTTAGTGTCTTTTAACTGAGATCAAAACAATTGACAGAAATCCAATGAGCTGTCAACTGATTCAAGGAGATATGTGAAACATCCAAATGTGATTATTAGCTTGATAATTAAATCCATTACTTGGTCCTTAATTTACAAGATGGTAAATAAAGAATAATAATGGTGCTTTGAACCAACTGCCTTTCTATACTATATAAGCCCTACATTATACTATTAAGAATTAAATATATACTACATCCAAAGTAACCTCTGAAAAAAAAAGTAACCTCCGATCAATATTTTTTAGTTATGACCTACCACAGTATAATTCTTAACGTGATTTTTCACTTGTTTGAATTACCTAAAGTACACAGCATAATTTGAACATTGTGAAACCGGATATAAGTTTTCTCACATTGGCATAATTTCATTAAAAAAAATTGTTATTTGTTTTAGAGGGGGAAGAGTAGGAGGTAGAGAAAGAGAGAGAAGTTTGTTGTTCCATTTTATTGATGCATTCATTGCTTGATTCTTGTGTGTGCCCTGACTGAAGATTAAACCCACAACCTTAGTGTATGGGGATAGTGCTCTAACCAACTGAGCTATCCAGCCAGGGATGTTTTCTATTTCTTTTAAATCCCACCCTTTCATTTCCAGCCATGTAGGGCTATTTGCCAAACTAGTGTATTTTCATTATAGATACTAAATTGTCTGTCTATGTTATAGAGGAAACTATTAAATTTCATTTTCCCGAATACATTTTGTGATATTTAAGAGACCCATGTAAACTCACCTATGAATCTGAATGAAGCAAATGAAGAAGTATAAAGCAGCAAAGAGACACTACTAACAAATGTTATTTTACAATGATCTGCAGTTGAGAGTAAGACTATGCAATGCATTATTTTCAGGGACTGGAAATACACTGAATAATTTTGATGGTGCCAGAAATAAGGGTTATTTGTACAGGTTGCATAATCCACTTACTAGTCTAATTTGTAGTTAGCATGCTCTTTAATGTCATTGTGTTTATGCTGAAAGTGCTGCATAAGGAAGGGCTTTGCTCATGTTAATTGATAAAAATGAAACACTTCCCATTACCCTAACTCTTTTTGAAATGTAACATACATACTAAATTTATCTAACTTTGTGTAATGCATTGGCTAAATACTAAATGTATTAAAACATGCTTTAAGCATGTGATACTTTATTTGCTATATTGCTAAAATTAACTCTAAGAAACTAAGTTTATATGAAAATAAAGTATGGCAAAAGAGAAAATAGATTTAGAAATCTCATCTAAATTACAATAAAATAGGAAAAATGTAACAGTTTTATGATGATTTTCTCTTCTCACAAAGTAGCTGAGAGAAAAAAAATTGTCATGTCATGAAAGTGTTATAAGAAATTGCCTAGGGTAATATACGATAGCTGTAAATTTTATTACTGATAAAGAAAAGTTTCATAAAATAAATATTTATTTCCAAAAAAGCAAAAGCCTTCTAATAAAACAAAAAGAACATATATGAATTTATAATAATTTCTATTAAATTTCAAACATAAAATAGTTTTAGGTGATATTTAATCATAATATTAAACTGCTTTTAGGTTGTTGCAATGTGTAATTTTTTACTTATTAGTTAGATTAGATTAAAGAGGTAAAAATAAATGAGTGCATTAATGAAACATGGCCTGGATATTTGAGTTAAAAAAATTCTCAATCTAAAATGCCTCCACTCCAGTGCGGGCTCTCTCTCTCCTCCCAACACCCCCGCCCCATAGTCCCTGCAGTAAAAATACGGTAGTTCTTGAGGAGGGCTTGTGCAGATATGTCTGCCACTGGACGACAGCAAATGCTGATTGAGAAAGGGTTTATCTTCATTTCATGCAAAATATGCAAACCATTAAGGAAATTATAAAAAGCAGCAACAATAAACTCTGGTTTTATTCAGAACCTTTCCCTTAGCGAATATTAAAAGGATGATATTTTTAGCCAAAGAAAGCAAAATGCATCTGCAGCAGCTGGTTTCCAAGGAAACCGAATAATTTAAAACCATGTGGAACTCTGCTCTCTAATTTTCATCAATTCCCCTTCATTCCTGGAGGTAGCTTTACTCAGAATTTATAATTTCAAAAAAAAAACATAAGTGCCTTGACTTATCTTCTCTAATACATATCAGGCAGTGACTACCTGTTCTTATATATCACCTTAAATTTCACTCTAAGGAGAGGATTAGTTTCTACCATCATTTTGTTTTAAAAACCAAGATGAAAAGAATCTATAATGAGAAACATGGCAACATCTCAGCAGCACACTCTGAACTGTAAAAACCAGAGATAGTTCAAAATGAGCCACGGAAGAGGACCTGCTTGGGTCAATATGACACTTAAGTACGTAAACATATTATTCTCTGTATTTGATATCTTTAGGAACATTATGTTTTTGTCTGCTATTTAAAGACAAAACCCATGTCTCCAATTACAAAAACCAAAATCAGGACCCCCCCAAAAACTTTAAAATTATTTATATTCATTCCTACTACTTTGTGACTCATTCCGAAGTACTGTGTTTTTTTTAAAAAATGAACAAATCAGTTACTCCATTGACTATTATTTTGTTATCATAATCAGTAAGCATTAATTAATTGCCAATGTGCCCATGTCAGTAATAATCTTTCTTAGAAGCTCAGTTTTAAAAAGGTTATTATACCAATATTGACCTATATTTACATATTAAGATAAGAATAAAATAAAATGACTTGGAGTAAAATTATGTTTTAATGTCTTTACTGTGGGTCATTTAGTCTACATATTTAGAACTATCATATTTTCCCTATGCAAAAAAAAAAAAGAGAGAGAGAGACACACAATGTTAGCAGATATAAGCCACTAAGCCACTGGTGATTGTAAATCTTAACTTTTGAGCTTCAAAATATATACATTACCTAGAAATATTCCCTACAATATATGGGAATGCTGTGATGGAATCCTTATCTAGATATATTTGACTGATAAATGAAACTAGCAATGAAACTGGCCTATTAAGATGCAATTTTTATGGCAATGTTTAATCTTTCACAAATAGGCCTCTGAACTTTTAAAGACTCATGCATGTTGATAAATACAGACATGTTTACTAAATAAAATGATGCAGCTACCCAATTGCCTAAGATTTATCAAAGGAGAAAGTTAAAAGAGCATAAATACACATAAATCACTCATTCTAAGTTAGAGCCAAAAAGGTCTACAACCAGCAAAAATTTCCCCAAACCATTTACTGTTTTGTAAATATTAGTAGACACACATGAAATTTTATACTGTATATTTAGAGAAAGCTCCATTTTCCCAGGACCTGTGGATTTTGCTGAGCTCTCTCCTCATCCTTCCTTTGATTCCTCACCACATAAGCTTATATGAAAACAAACCCAGAAAAGCACATGACGACTCAATTTATCTGTTAATTTTGCTTCAATAACCCTTGGTTAGGAAGTTATCCAGGGTAAGACATGCCTATGGTGTTTTTATCAGCTAAGGGTTTTGCAGGGAGAAAGAACATTTTCACAAAGCGTCCTCAAGTAATGAAAAGGACACACTTTCGGCAAACGTCTTCGGAATGATTTTCAAATCATAAAACTCTCTTAGTAGGAATTAAGAATCATTCTCTTTTGAAAAAAAAAAGAAAATTTTCTCTTCTTGTTTGCTCTTACCTGTAAGTATGGTTTCTGTAGTTCGGCTCCCTCGGATCACACTGAAGATTTCCCTCCTCCCTCTACATCCATCAGGCGGCAGCCAACCAATAACAAAAGCCGGATCCTGGCATTCTCTGGCTCATGCTCCCTGATCTGCTTCCCTGCTTTGGTCCCTCCCACCCCAGCTCTTTTGGAGGACAAACCCTCGCAGCTGGGAGAGAGAAAGGGAGTGGAGGAAAGGAATATAGAGAGGAAAGGAGTGGAGAGCTGAAAGGTATTTCAAAGAATTGCTCCAAACTATGAAAAATGTCTGTAGGTGAACTGAGCTAAAGTGAACTGCCTTGCTTTGGATTTAGGAAAATAGGGACAATCAAAAGCCTCACCCACCTGAAATCAAAGCAAAACTCTCATAGTAAAACCTAGGTAAATAGCCTATTAATTCAACTCCCACTGATTTTTCTCAGTGAAAAAAAATTATTTCCTCATTTTACATTTTGATATGCAGGTAGACAAAGTTGAGAATGAACATCATGATAATATTATACACATACAATTTGCAAACATGTAAAATGAATTGAAACCCTGCATACTGATGTATCATACTACTTGCCTTTCAGCCTCTGTTTTACACTCTGTGTTTAAAACCAGTTTCAGAGCCTAATCACTATGAAAAAGATATTTAACCCTGAGTATTAAACTGTTCCAATATTTCAGAATTATGTTGTTTGCATTACTTTAGATTTCTTAAATGTTCATATCAGTTTGTCCATATAAATAATGAAGGTTTTTAAAGATTAAGGAGGAATCAGCACTTAGTTATCATGTCTCAAAGTGACTGAAGTCCAATTTTATTCTAGTAACTTCAGGCAAAATAATTTCACTTCTCAACTAAAAAGCATAATAGGTATAAAACAATAATCAAGGAAAACATCAGTTATGATTCTTTAATACAACAAAGCAAATTTGTCCACAGCTTAAAGGATGTTAGGTTGAGACTACCAAAGATTTCAAAGTAGATCTGTATCTATCTGTATCACCTATACCTATGTCTAAATTTATATCTATATCATCTATCTATATCTAATCTATATCTATGTACAGATTTTATTCTTAACATTGAAAATATAATGCAAACCATGGCTCTTTATGATAAAAGGTACTATTAATTGAGCTTCCACTAATCAAGTTGGTCTGAAAAAGTTTTAGGGGGAGATATAAATTAAAATAATGGATATTTTCTCTATCTTAAGGATATGTACTACCTACCTGAGATATTTATAGGCTTTGCAATTCAATTTCTTGAATCGGTAACATGGAAATAAAACCAAAGGGAGAAAAAAGAGAGAGACATGGCAAGAATATATTTATTTCAAAGAGTAACTATCATGAGGGCAAACATTGGTGTCCAAAAATAATTGTATGAAAAAGACTTAGGGGTATCAATCTTGTTAGGAGGGGAGTAAGCTGGAAACTTGACCTGAAACTGACTTTAGATAGAAGAAGAGCACTGATTTTTCTGAGTGTGTGCAGTTACTTGGAGTAGCTCCGGGAGGCTTTGCTTGAGAAAAGGGGAAGGTTAGATCATCCCTTATTTCCATCCCCAGCCCTCTGCCTTGGAAAATGCTTTCAAAGCCTCTAGGAATAGCTGGGAATATCCTTATGGCCACATTTCTGAAAGTCGGAGCAGAGTTATCTTCATCAGAATCATTGCTAGGGGTGGGAGGAGTATTAAAAATACACATCTGTTGGCCTATCCCCAGATTTAAGGAATTAGCATTTGAAGAGTTTGTGACTCTGCATCCAGGGTGATTTTTATGCCAATAATGCTTTAGGTCAGTGACTCTGTAGACAAGTGTTCCTTGGACACAACCTCTAACCAGATTTCTCCTTGTATGATTATGGCATCATTATCTCAGATAGAGAGAGAAAAGGGGGTAATAAAGGGGAGATCAATTTAGTTTGGACATTTTAAATTTTTTGAGTATCCCAACTGAATATTACATTTTCAGTTTAAACCATGACTAGATCTGGGGTGTAGGTACCATCTGGAGATTATCTATGGTATGGTTAAGCAATGAAAAGTGAATTGATTACTGCTTCAATTTCTTTTGCTGTTATTGGTGAATTTAGATTTTCTGCTTCTTTTTCACTGAGTTTTGGAAGATTGTATTTTTCTAGAAATGTGTCCATTTCCCCTATGTTTTCAAATTTCTTGGCATACAGTTCTTCATAGTAATTTCTTACAATCTCTTCTATTTCTGTGGTATCAGTTGTAATCTCTCCTTGAGACACATGAAGAGATGCTCAATATCATTAGCTATCAGAGAGATGCAAATTAAAACCACAATGAGATACCACTTTACACCAGTCAGGATGGCTATCATAAACAAAGCAACAAACAACAAATGTTGGAGGGGTTGTGGGGAAACGGGGTCCTTAGTTCACTGTTGGTGGGAGTGCAGACTGGTACAACCATTATGGAAAACAGTATGGATTTTTCTCAGAAAAATAAAAATCGACCTGCCTTTTGACCCAGCAATTCCACTGCTAGGATTATATCCTAAGAATCCTAAAACATCAATATCAAAGAACCTATGCACCACAATGTTCATAGCAGCACAATTTACAATAGCCAAGAGTTGGAAGCAACCTAGGTGCCCATCAGTAAATGAATGGATCCAAAAATTGTGGTACATATACACAATGGAATTCTATGCTGCAGAGAGAAAGAAGGAGCTACTACCCTTTGCAACAACATGGATGGAACTGGAAAGCATTATGCTGAGTGAAATAGGCCAGGTGCTGAAAGACAAATACCATATGATCTCACCTTTAACAGGAAGCTAAACAACAAAACAAACAAGTAAGCAGAAAAAAAAAACCCAAAAAACAAAGACACTGAAATAGAGAACAAGGGGATAGTGACCAGAGGGGAGAAGGAAGGGAAGTTAAGGGGAAAAAGGGGGAGGGATTTGGAGGAACAAATAGGAAGGACACAGGGACGAGAACTAAGGGGGGGGAGGAAATGGGAGGGGGTGGGGAGCAAGGGGCAGGGGAGGCTGGGATGGGAAAAATAGACAAAAAACTGTACTTGAAAAATAACTAAATAAAATTTAAAAAAAAAAAAAAGTGAATTGAGTACCATTAGGGCAGTTGTTCTCAAAATTATGCCCCATGAAATTTCTTTCTAAGAATTAAAAATGCAGACTAGGACTCCATATCATACCTACCAAGTCAGAATCTCTGGGGAGGGGCTGAGAAGGGGCATTTCTCATACATTTTCCAGCTAACTTTCCTTGTATATGGAGCTTTGGAACCGCTGCTCTAGAAAAGGAAGTAAAGTGAGAATAAAACCCTGAGGATGACTTGCATTCAAAAAGAACAAACAGAGGAAGTGGTATGAAGAAAAAATATTTAAGAGGAATAGTTAGCAAGGAGAGGAGACAAAAAATGATATAGCAAATCAAAGCACTAGAGAATTTTGAGAAAATGCCCTGTCAAAGGCTATGGCAAGACCTAGTGCCTTGCTCTCATAGTGCAGTTCACAGAAGTCAAACACCTCCTAGAGCTCATTGCAACATGGGACGTGGAATCTCGGGCCCTGTGCCGGTAAACTGAACAGCAGTCTGCTTTTTAACCAGACCCACCGAAGAGTCCAATGCACATTTAAATGTATTGTTATGGATTTATTTTTTCACTGAAATCCTATTTTATGTATAACATTGTATACATTTAAGATGTGTAATATGCTAATTTAGTATACTTATACATTGTAATATGATAGCCCTTATAGTGCTAATTAGCATCTCTATATATTACATAACTGTCCTGTCTTTTTAGTGGTTGGAATATGGAAGTTCTGACCTCTTAACCAGTTTGATGTTTATAATTCAGTATTGTTGTCTATATTCACTCTATTATACATTAGATCTCTAGGGCTTATTCACTACTCATTGTAAGTTTGTGCCCTCAAACAGTATCTGCCTGTCTCTCCAGCCTCCATCTGCTAGTGACCGCCATTGTGTTCTCTGTTTTCACAGGCTTAGATCTTAAAATTTCACAAATAAGGGATATTCAGACAGTGTGTGGACTTGAGCCCAGGAATGGAAAAATAGCAGGTGACCAGGAAGCCAAGTTAAGACCAGGTGGTCCAAAGGTGTAGAAACCACTCCTCTTGCATGAGCAGGTGCTCAAGGTAGTCACTGTTTGACCTACCTGGGGTGGCAGAAATGAGCAACACCAAAACTAGCACAAAATATGACATTTAAGTTAGAAGAGGATTGTAGAAAATAATGTATTGACAATAAAAAATTCTCATAGTAATGAGATGTTGTGGATTAAAAAAACTGATAACAGAGTTTCCATAGGGATTCATGCTGAAAATGGCTGCTGATAAGGTTGATAATTGTATAACAATTAAGCCATATTAATAAAGTTCTTGAGGGGCAATAAAATATATTCAACTCTCCTGCCGCAACTCACATTTTCTGAGGAGTACTGTAATAAATAAATTAGAATAAACTGTAGAAAACTTTACAGGTCAGCATGAATAAATGATAAAGTAGTGGGTGGTTTTCATTAGGGGTACATATAAAGTTGTAATTTAAGAACAAGTAATTTAAACCTTAAGTTATGATGATGTTTGAACATCAGTTGTAACTCATGAAGAGATTGGTATCGCTTTGGTTCCTAAGCCCATTATTTCACATTGCCAAAAATGCCCACAATCCTAACCTGTCTTCTGGAAGCATAGAAAGAAAGTTTTTTTAAAAGGTGTGTATTTATTTTATGTAAAAGTGCAGATTGTCCGCACTTGAAATTCCATAGTAATAATTGATTATCACAGATAAAGAAAGACATACAATAGCTAGAAAATATCTGGGGAAACTCAAGTCAAGTAATCATTGGAATTAGCGGTTTCAAATGAGTTTGATTTTGAAATTTGGATACCTGAAACTGGTAAGACAAAAATGGGAAAAGGACATCATGCGAATCTTAAAATACTAATTGTGAACAAAGTCAACAGAAATTCCGTCACCAGATTGTAGACAGCTTCAGTACTTGAGAGGG